TATATATATATATATATATAGGAAAGTCACTTTATAATAAATTGGAGACATTATTAATTATTTAATTAAAAACCTTTTTTTCTGTCATATTAAATATGAGATGTATTTAATACTTCAACTGTAATATGTAAATAGTTTTTATTAATGTATTTATTTCCATACCTCTGGATATGACAACACTTTACAATAAAGTTGTATTTACAAATAGAGCACAGTAATTATTCATTATTATTTAGCCTTACTTCATGGAAATTAGGTTGTTCATTGTTAGTTTATGTACATCAACTATGTTAACATGTATTACTTTGGATTTTTTTAAATACCGTACAAGTATGAATAATAAATGCATGTTATTAAATACATTACCTATTGGAAACTAATTGTAATATCTGACCCAAATATTAAATGTAAATTAATTTTAAAAATGTGTCTACAAGTTTGGAATGATGCGTAAATAATATCTATTTTACCATCACAATATTCTAAAACCATATCACTTTACTTTAATGGAAAACAGTGGCAAAATTGTGTTTCAGGTTTTGGCTAATAGAAATATGAGTACATAAGGATTCATTTTATTTTATCTTTATTATATTTGTCAGTTTAGGTCTTTAAATCATGTCACTTTTATAATATGGAAAATAATGTTAAAGATGTTATTCAAAAATTGTGTTTTCAGATTTTGGTTGATAGAAATACGAGTAAATTAAGATTTATTTATCTTATCTTAATAATTTTCGTCAGTTTAAGTGTTGATAACATATAAATTTAATGCAAAATATCGTTAAAGAAATTCTTTAAAGTTTGTGTTCTTCAGTTTTTCACTAATAGAAATACGAGTCAATTAAGATTTATTTATTTTTTCTTAATAATTTTAAGTATCTAAAAATGGTCAGTATCTATCATATCAACATTTTAAAACCATATAACTTTTATTATGGAAAAAAAGTAACAAAACTGATAGAAAGGTCAGTAAATTAAGATTAGTTTATTTTATCTTAAATCTTTTGGTTAGCACAAGTCTTGAAACCTTATCGCTTTCATAATATGGACAATAATGACAAATATATTCTTCTAAAGATATATATTTTCTTCAGTTTCTGACTGATAGAAATACAAGTAAATTTAGATTACTTTATAGTATCATTATTTATTTTAAAAACCACATACATTTTATAATATGGACAATATTGGCAAGGATATTCTTCAAACATTGTGTTCTTCAGATTGTTGACTGATAGAAATATGAGTAAACAAAGATTTATTTATTTTATCTTAATAATTTTGGTCAGTTTAAGTCTTAAAACAACATTCATTTCACAATATGGATAAAAAATGTCAAGGATATTCTTTAAAATTTGTGTTGTACAGATTTTTGACAAATAGAAAGATGAGTAAATTAATATTTGTTTATTTTATCTCAATAACTTGTTCAGTATCTATTTCATCATAGCTGCATTTTAAAACCATATTACTTTTATTATGGAAAATAGTGACAAAGAAAATCTTCCAAAATTGTGTTTTACAGCTTTTGACTGATAGAAATATGAGTAAATTTAGATAATTTTATTTTATCGTTATTAATTTGCTTAGTTTAAGTCTTCAAACCATATTCATTTCACAATATGGAAAATAATGTCAAAGATTTTCTTCAGAAAATGTGTTCTTCAAAATGTGTTCTTTATGTATTTTATCTTAATAATTTTTGTCAATTTAAGTCTTAAAACCTTGTCGCTTTCATAATAAGGACAATAATGACAAAGATATTTTAAAATTGTGTTCTACAGTTCTTTTGGCTGATAGAAATATGGATAAACTAAGATTTATTTATTTTATCTTATTTATTTTGCTCAGTTTAAGTCTTGAAACCACATCAGTTGAAACTATTTAACAGACATTCATCAAAAAAATGTGCTTGGAATTATAAAGTTGTGTATAAAAATATTTTTATTGTGTGAACTATTCCTTTAACAGTCAAATTTTTCCTGATATTTTTGTGTGAACAGTTCCTTTATCACAGACTGTAGCATTTCTGTCTAATCTTTACACTACCCTTACCTCACTTCCAAACGTTATTGATATTTCTTTATGTTTTCTGCATCAATCATCGCACTCAAACTATAATATCAGCAGATCCTCAGCTTTTAAATCACAGTCTGTTCCGTCTATTCTGAGCGTCCCCTGCAGGACTACTATTAGAGTGGATATTGATCTGTACGGATGAATAGCAGTAAATGTCACTCATAGCGTTCAGCGCTTCCAGACGAGTATTTTCACATAGAATGGGGAAAAATTGGCTGCGGCATTTTCTCAGCATTGATATATTGACCTGCTCTCGGCCTCCTGTAAAACTTCTGAATTAGTGTGTAGCATTTACTCCTCTAGCCTTTTCTTTCTAACTTTCCTCCTGGGTCTTTTTTCCCCTCTCTTGCGTCCTACTCTTCTCTTCAGCTCTGTTTACAATTCGCTTTCTTCCTCCTGTCTTATGGGGTGACGTTGACCCCCATCACCAACCTCTTGTTGATCTCTGACCTCTCACCTCACCCCTTCAACAGAGGAAGAGACACTACTGGCGCCTGGACTGCAAATGCATCATCCTGTTTCAAAACGACACCACCAACAAATACTACAAGGTACAAATCTCCCTTCTTTATACTTTAAAGTGACCCCCTTATGCTGTTTTAAAGGTTTCAAACGTTGTTTTAGACATCTATTTTTGAGGGATAATGTTAATCCATTTCTGGTCTGTTCATATTTGAATGTTTATATATAAAATATTATTAAGTTTATCTATTTGTATTAGTTTTTATCGCAGAATAAACGCCACTGAAGTGGTTTTGTTTTTACAAAAGAACCATCTGAATGTACATTATACCACTTTTTACTCAGCTACCACCATAAAATTAAACAATTAGACACAAATCTTTGATCTGAGATGTAAACGTTATCTAGCTCTTTAGTTATTAAAAAACTTGTGGAAATTTCAAAGAAAAATTGTAACAAATGGCTGGATGCAGCCTACACAAAAATAAACTATATGATTATAAATACACTCAAGATGATTCCTAATACTATTAGTTTGGTTGTTATTGGCCATTAACAAACCTCGAATGTCAGAATTGACCAATCAGATTCAAGTATTCCAGAGGGTAATATAATAAAATCAGTCAACATCCACCCAAAATAAAAAGGCTATTTAGTTTTCTTATAATATGCATATTAACTTGCCTTATTTCTATGAAAATTTCAGCAGTTTGTTTTAAAGGTTAATTGTTTCTAAATCCACCTTTTCAAGAGTCTGCTCAGCTCTGATTGGTCAGATATAGCCAAATCTGTTGTAATTGACTGCTTGAATTGTATCGAACACCCATACACCTATATTCATTTTATATTAGGGATGTAACAATTCACCTGACTCACAATTTGATACGCTTTACGATACTAATCTCATGATTTAGTGATGATTTTTTAAACAAAATTATTAGATATTATTATATTTATTATAATTACTTCTATATTAAATTAGAGCACTTTAATTTTTTCTTAATCGCTGCACATTTTTTTGCAAAATAATATATTTTCTGCCATAACCAAATCGCTATTTTAAAAAGCAAATAAAAAAATAATAAAAATAAAAAATAAACAATCCAAACTAAAGAAGACTCGTCAATATAAACAAACTAAAACTGTGACTGTGTTGAGATTTTGCATATTTAAAATAAATATTCACATATCTATGTTTTCTGGGACAAGCTAACGTCTTTGGACATTTACAATGTCCCCTGCTGCTGAAAAAACTCACTGGGGACTCAGATGGCTGGTATGGAGAGGTAAATCTTCCATACTAAACCAGAGAGCAGTGTGTATGGAGGTGGTTAACAGGTAAATATTATGAAGGTGAATAATTAATATTACTTGTATAATTGATTAGTATACGTATCAGTGTGATACACTTAAGATTAAATATTCAATAATAATAAGCAAATTATTGAAGTATTCATAAACTAATTTGAAAAGGAGAGGGTAAAATAATCTAATACCTTCTTCTGTAATAGAACAACTTTCTCTTTCAGTGCATCATATTTTCTATTCTGTTAGTCTATGTAAACGTCTTTTTGCAGTATTTGCACACAGTTTGTGTTTGTCTGGCAGACTTCACCTCTGTCAGTTTACTCTGCCGCCCCACCCGCTGATATGCAGGTAAAACCAGCTTGCGCCCCTAGTTCAAAAAATGTATCACGATTCATTCAAAATTTCTACCGATTTGAATCGTCACAAATTTGAATCGATTTTCAACTGACTCACTGTGAATCGTTACATCCCTATTATACTATGCATCTGTAAAGTATTCATAGCGCTTCACTTTTCCCACATTTTTTATGTTACAGCCTTATTCTAAAACAGATTAATCAGGTATCAGGTAATATCAGGTAATCACCTCCCTGACTAAAGCCCTTCTCCCTGATCACTCAGCTTAAATGACCGGCCAACACTAGGAAGAGTCCTGGTGGTTCCAAACATCTTCCACTTAAGGATGAAGAAGGCCACTGTGCTTATTAAAACTTTCAGAGCAGCAATTTTTTTTCTATAACCTTTCCCAGCCATGTGCCTCGAGACAATCATGTCTCAGAGGTCTACAAACAATTCATTTGACTTCATGCTTGGTTTGTGCCTTGACATGCTCTGTCAACCCTGGGACCTTATATAGACAGGTTTATGCCTTTTCAAATCATTTTGAACTCCAATTAAGCTGCTGAAACATCTCAAGTATGATCAGTGGAAACAGAATGTACCTGAGCTCAATTTAGAGCTTCACGGCAAAGGCTGTGAATACTGATGTACATGTGATTTTTTTTGTTTTTTTGTTTAGGTTTTCAATTTGCAACATTAAAAAAAATAAAAAAATAATTCACTTTGTCAATATGGGGTATTGTGTGTAGAATTTTAAGGAAATAAATGAATTTAATCCATTTTGGAATAAAGCTGTAACTTAAAATAAGTGAAGCGCTATGAAAACTTTCCGCATGCACTGTATATAAAATTCATCAATGAAGTTTATCTCAACAATACTGTAAGATAGTAATGATGGCACCTGCTTGATCAGTTCTTAAGATAAAACATTAGAAGAACTAGTTGATAAAGATCAAACAGTGCTGTCATCAGAAAATATACAAAGTAACATAAAAAAATCACCAAAAAATGTACAGCCCAATGAAACAGACAAAGTGCTATATTACAACAGAACAGCAAAACACAAAGTTCTGCCAACAAAAAATGTAGATACTGCTAAAGCCACCCTGTGTATAATTTGTAACTATAATGAGTTGCAAAAGATCTTCAAATCTACCACCAACAAAAATAATAATAAAATGGTCAGTAATAAATTTTGTTAAACAAGAAGTTCCTTATTTATCAGGGGTCGTCACAGCGGAATGAACCAACTACTATTCCAGCATATGTTTTACACTGTGGATACCCTTCCAGGTGCAACCCAGTACTGGGGAACACCCATACACTCATTATATTTGAAAGTCATCATTGGAGTTTAGCTCAGCAATTGTAAACACTGCAGGACAGCAATGATGCTATTAGATCAGTTCTGTAAATGAAATGTTAAAATAATTAACTGATCAACATCAAACAATGCTGTCATCAAAAAATATATAATGGCGCATAAAAAATGATCACCAAAACATTAACAGCTCAATGAAACAGACAGAGTGCTATATTACAACAGAACAACAAAACACAAAGTTCTGCCAACAAAACATTGAGAAACTGCCAAAGCCACATTGTGTATAATTTGTATCAATAAAAATGTTGCAAAGCTCTTCAAAAGAAAAGAGTTGCAAAAGCTCTTCAAATTTACCACCAACAAAATAATAATAAAATGGTCTATAATAAATTATGATAAACAAACAATTCATTCATTTTTCTTTGGCTTGTTCTCTTTTTTATCAGGGGTTGTCACAGGGTAATGAACCACCAACTATTCCAGCATATGTTTTACATAGCGTATGCCCTTTTAGCTGCAACCCAGTACTGGGAAACACCCATACACTGTCGCATTCACACTTCACACGCACATACACTAAGACCCACACCAACATGGGGAGAACATGCAAACTCCACACAGAAATGCCAACTGGTCCCCCGGAACTAGAACCTGTGACCTTCTTGCTGTGAAGCAACAGTGCTAACCACTGATCCATCATTCCATAAAAACGTCAATTCAATTCAGCTTCCAGAAATGTTTTCTTCCTTATCTGTGGTACGATTGAAGTCAAATGTGAAAAGGAAATCCAAAGTTTCAATCTGCAGATCTGTGCATATCGTAGCAGATTCCTTATATTGCACCAATCACACACGTTTCTGTTGAACGCAGTTGCCAATCAGATGTTAAGATTAAATATAAATATAACATATAATGTCTCAACAATAAACAGTTCTTCTTGAAATAATGAAGTATTTGAGAGTCACAAATGACGTAGTTCTTGGGCAGCCAATGAAGACCAAAGGCTGACATTATGCACATATATATAGAATCTATGAGAAGCAATTGTGAAAGAGAAAATATAATTGCTGATGAATCGATTCTTTTTTTAGAAGACAGTTTATTAACTGTGATTTGCACATCCCCCTGTAAGAGTGAAGGCAGACCCCCTCACTGCATAATCAAAACAGATTAGACAGTGCTATAGCATTAAAAGGATTGAGTGGTATTACATTTTTGTTTTTGTCTTTTTTACAAATGAGAATACAATGAAGGAAACACAGTGGCGCAGTGGGTAGCAAGATCACCTCACAGCAAGAAGGTCACTGGTTTGAATCACGGCTGGATCAGTTGGCATGTCTGTGTGGAGTTTGCATGTTCTCCTTGTGTTTACGCGGTTTTCCTCAGAGTGCCCAGTTTCCCCATACTTCAAAGACATGCGCTATAGGTCAATTGAATAAACTAAATTGGCCATAGTGTATGTGTGGATGTTTCCCAGTGATGGGTTGCAGCATGGAAAGGCATCCGCTGTTTAAAACATATTCTGGATAAGTTGGTGTTTCATTCTGCTGTGGCGACCCATGATGAATAAAGAGAATAAGCAAAAAGAAAATCAATAAATGAATGAATACAATGAAATCAAAAATACCAGTAAAAAGCTTTACGAATCAAATAAGCATGTTATCTTTAAAAATGTCCATAATGTCCCTTTCTTTAAGCAAGTAAATATGAAGAGTTCAGATGCAAAAACCTTTACGTGCCTCCAAAATCTCGTTTTAAATTAGCCCTTTTAGTCGAGCCGATAGCTTAGTGATACTGTGCGCTGACATATAGCACATAAATGCTCTCGGCGACCCGAGTTTGATTCCCGGCTCGAGGTCCTTTGCCGATTCTTCCCCTCTCTTTGTTCTCAATGCTTTTCTGTCTGAAATCTCCATGGTCCTGTATCATAATAAAGATGAAAACCCCTTAAAATTAATAATAAAATTAGCCCTTTTGATTATGTTCAGCCACTTGTGTTTATCTTCTGTTATTTCACCTTAAAGGCAATGAAAATAATATAATAATATGAAAACATATGAGTGAAATTACCAAACCTAAGCTATAAAACCCAAGAAAAATGCTCATTTCAGAAGAAAATTTCAGATGGCACCTAGATGTTTTTGCATTTGGACTCTTCACACATTCCATATTTTATTACAAAGTTAAATTGCTTTAGCGATACTATAAAAACATCATGCTAATAAAGTAAATTGAACTTAAATTGAACTGAACTGTAACAGAGAGAGCGAGAGATTTATATAGATTTATGTATTTTTTTATTATTTTTATTTTTTTATTGTTATTGTTGTTTTTTCATTATCATAATGGTTGATATTCAATTCAATTCATCTTTATTTCTATAGCACTTTTACAATGTAGATTTTGTCAAAGCAGCTTAACATAGAAGCTCTATTGAATTAAAACAGTGTCAGTCCAGTTTTCAGAGTTGAAGTTCAGTTTAGTTCAGTTCAGTGTGGGTTAAAGTCCAAACACCGAAGAGCAAATCCATTGATGTGTAACCCCACCAATTCTACACCACCCCACTGGCTCTGAGCTGGGATCGAACCAGTCACCTTCCGCATGAAAGTCGGTTGCTCTTAACAAAGAGGCTAAAGGCCATGGCCTCTAACATCTGTGGCTAGAGGACCTTTAGAGGTCAGAGGAATGAGGTATACCAGCACAGCACTTCACTAGCTGGCCTCCGCTACAAATGCGCAGCTCCTCAAGTCTCAACAATATTACTGCTAATATTACATGCATTGCCTTTTTTCTGCTGTATGCTTTGACAATGCATTCCCAAGTATGTCATGCCAATAAAGTGAACGCAGTTTGTCACGCACTTCTTATGTTTGTTAGTGTATGAATTATTTAAGTGAAACATATTTCATATATAAGATTTAATGGACTTTAGTGGTTTTTTCTTTTTATTCAGTTAATGATCATCTTAGAAGTATCAGTTAATCTTTAAGTAAATTATTGTAAAGAACAACCCTACGTTTTTTGGGAGGTCTGCATTTTTGGGCCCCGTCTTTGTTTATCATAGCATGAAACATAATATCCAAAAAAAGCTCAACAGAAGACTTTAATGTTGAGTTAAACTGCACATAAACTACTAGGTAATGTGTGTTTGGAAGTGCCTTGTTTTATTATGCCTAATACATTTAAAGTGACAAATGAAGCATGAATTTTCTGGGTTCATGAAATAATGCATTACGAATGGCTTTCACAAGCTATTTGTCTATTAAGGTGACTTCACATGTCGAATTACCTGGTTAAGTTAATTATCAGATCCCGCTGTGAAATTAACCTCTGAATGATGGAGGGTCTAATTTGGCTTTCGTCTTCCTCCACAGGAAATCCCTCTCTCGGAAATCCTGGAAGTGCGGTCGGCAGGTGATTTCTCTCTCGTCCCTGCTGGCACCAGCCCTCATTGCTTTGAGATTATGACGGGAACCATGATCTACTTTGTTGGGGAGGACCCCAACACCTCGTCCCCGTCATCCAGCATATCCGGCCTGCCCGTCTCTCCCAGCAGCGTTGTGCCTAATAGCGGAGTTGGACGAGAAGTCGCCAAAGGATGGGAGACGGCTATACGCCAGGCCCTCATGCCAGTTATTTTCCAAGATAATCCTCCGGCTGAAGGCCACACACCTCACCGTAAGTGAGACTGATTCTGGAAGAAAGATGAGATACTGTGAACTGTACATAAACACAATTCCCACAGGCTATACGGGCAATCATAAAAAAACTTTCTTACTGAATGATAGGTCATTTTATTATGAGATTATTGGATTTAGTTCTTGGTTACTGTGTTATTCCATTTGGAAATATAGTTTCCATACTGTCTATATCTTTGTAGGTATTAAACATGCTTTATGCTTTTAGTATATGAGTGAATAACTTAATAAAATTATATTAATCAATATTTTTTCATTATGGCGTAATGCAGGAAACCATCTTATTGATAGGAAATTATATCATAGAAAATAACCTTGTAGAAACTTGGTAAAGTCTAGAAAGGTTAAATTTAAATAACAAATAATTCTCGTTAACTTCCGATCACAGCCATATCTGATAGCAACAACTGTGGAAACTCATAGATTCAGTGTCAGTGTGTTTATTTACTTTTAAAATGAAAAAAAAAAAAATTACATTAAGTATATTATTTATATTTACCTTTTTATCTGATATTTAATTTTTTTCTTGGTTATTTCTTGCCACATGAATAACCCTAATGCATGCATTTATTCATTAATTAATTAATTAATTAATTCATTCATTCATTCATTTATTCATTCATTTTCTTGTCGGCTTAGTCCCTCTATTATTCTGGGGTCGCCACAGCAGAATGAACCGCCAACTTATCCAGCACATTTTTACACAGCGGATGCCCTTCCAGCTGCAATAAATCTCTGGGAAACATCCACAAACACTTTCACACACACTCATACACTACGGAAAATGTAGCCTACCCAATTTACATAGGACTGATGGGGAAACCGAAGCACCCGGAGGAAACCCACGTGAACGCAGGGAGAACATGCAAACTCCACACAGAAACGCCCACTAAGCCGAGGATCGAACCAGCGACCTTCTTGCTGTGAGGCAACACCTACTGCGCTACCTACTCGCCCCCTATTAAATGCATTTTTCTTTTATTTTGATAATTACATTTCATAATTTAAAAAAAAAATGTATTTAATAAAAAATAATTAAAGAATTATATATAAATTATATAATTATATAAATTAAAGGCTAGGCAAGTTTATTTATATAGCACATGTCATACACAATAGTAATTCATAGTGCTTTACATAAACAAGAATAAAAGAAACAAGAAAATAAAAACAACAAAGAATAAAAAGTATTAAAAAAAGATTAAACTGTGTTAAACAGGTTTTAAAGGAATGGAAATAAAAAGAAAAACATGGTGCGATCTGTCGAACATAGCATAACACAGATGTGATTTCAGTCTTGATTTGAATGTGCCTAATGTTGGAGCACATCTGATCATTTCTGGAAGCTGATTCCAGCAGCGGGGGGCACAGTAGCTGAAGGCAGATTCACCCTGCTTTAATTGAACCCTTGGAATTTCTAGTTTATATTATCCTAAAGATCTGAGGAATTCTGTTAAAACACTCAAAAAACTGCATCTTGTTGAATCTACCTATTTAAAATGAGCTGAAACAACACATTTGTTATCCTTTCTTTGGCTAATTTACTTGTTTTATGTTCAAATAAATACCTGGTCTGGGGATATGTAGTTCCCAGCATGCTTTTTGTGGGATTGAATTACAAGTGGGAAATGTTGACAATAAAAGTAATCGTAGGTGTTTAATGTTAATGGAGTGACTTAGAATCTTCACTTTAGTTTGAATATTTAGAAGATCATGTAATGCTCTGATTTTTGAGATGACCACCATACATGTTTGAGTGTTGACAGCTTAATTAGCAAAAGTTCAGTGAGCAATAACTGTCCTAAAATTAATTTTGAGATCAGTCTCAATCAACTGTATATGTTACTCATGAAATATGCTTAAAAATATCTCATAGTTCATTTAGGATAACTTTAAGAGACTTCAAAATGTACGATACATAACAGACAAACATAATATTAATATCAGACCTTTGAGTTTAAGTTAAATAAAAATACACATGTAACGTTTTATTTGATAACATCTTGTTTTCTTTTAGTTGGTGCTAAACAAATTTATTGGATAAAATCCTGCCCTCAATTAAATTGAGTTCATCCAATGAGGTTTTGTGTGTGTGTGTGTGTGTGTGTGTGTGTGTGTGTGTGTGTGTGTGTGTGTGTGTGTGTGTGTGTGTGTGTGTGTGTGTGTGTGTGTGTGTGTGTGTGTGTGTGTGTGTGTGTGTTTGTGTGTGTGTGTGTGTGTGTGTGTAATTAGTGAGTATATTTGTAATGTATTGAGGTCCTAGGCCATTTAGTGATTTTTAGACAAGTAATAATACTTTAAAATTTATTTTGAATGTAACTGGAGCCATTGTAAAGACCTGAAGACAAGTGTGATGTGCTCTGATTTTTGGGTTCTGGTCAAAATCCTGGCAGCAGCATTCTGGATTTAAATCAATCAAATCAATCAAGCCTTTATTTGTCACTACACTTTCGTATAGCGAAATTAAGTTATATATATATATAATATATATATATATATATATATATATATATATATATAAATCAAATTTGCTTCACAACAGCAAGAATATGAAAAAGTACATTTCTAACTTGACATAGTAAGTTTTATTTTGTAATTATTCATCATCTCAGCCATCCCTATTTGTCATTGATCTTTACTTGAGACTTAATATGGAAATTATGAATTGAGGCTAATAAGGTTATTAATCTGTTTAATTTCAGGCCAGGCATCAGTCAGCATTTCTGTGTCTAACAGCCAGATTCAAGAAAATGTGGTGAGTGAGTGAACTTGACATTTAAAGCTGTGAAACATCACATACTGTGATGATAATAATGACAAAGATGATTACAGTATGATTAAGTTAATAATGATTAAAATGATGTACCCAACAGGACATTGGAATGTTCTACCAGATCTTTGCTGATGAGGTTCTGGGCTCTGGACAATTCGGTGTGGTTTATGGAGGTATGTCCATGATATATATTGTACACACACATATACAGCTGAAGTCAAAATATCAGCCCTTTTGTGATTTTTTTTAAATTCTTTTTTAAATATTTAAAATATTTAGTGTTTCTGATAAAAAAATAAATAAATAAATATTAGTGTCTTCTTTGGTTTATTTTGGCTAGAATCAAAGCAGGTTTTAATAAATAAAAAATAAAAACATTTGCAGGTCAAAATTGTTAGGAAATCTTAAAAAAATATATCTTAATCTAATTTACCTAGATAAGCCTTTAAATGTCACTTTAAGCTAAATACTAGTATTTTGAAAAATATCTAGTCAAATATTATTTACTGTCATCATGGCAAATAAAAGAAATTAGTTATTACTTCAGATAATCAGTTTTAGTCAATTAATTTTCGTAAGTCCAAAATCCAGCTGTGCAAGAAAACACAGTCTGATGTAAGTGAGGTCATCTTTCGCTAATCTATTGTTTTTAGAAAACATTTTACAGGTAACTTTTGTTCTAAATTTTGTTCCTTGTTCTTGAAAAATTAAATGAGCAATAAAAAAGTGTGAAGCACCGAAAGCGGCTGAAATTAAATTGAATTTTAATATTATTTTGGCTATTGTTGTAACTGGCCAGTTTGTAATTTGCCTAATAAATTACAATAGTACAGTTTTTAATTGAAAACTTTTTAATGATATGATATAATAAATTTGTATTTGAATATATATTATTTCACATTTCTTTATTTAAAATATTTAGGAGGTGTTTTTGGTACATTAGAAGTGTGATCATGATGACCATCTGACAAGCTAATACAGCTAAAAGATAGTGCTTAAAGTGCAATATTTAAATCTCACAACTAAATAAAAAACGAAGCATTTAACTGCAAAAAGGTCCACCTTTAGAGAAAAAAGAACCAACCCTTCCACCAGGCTGGCTACAGGCCTGGGTTATCTAGCACCACTAATGATGATGCACTTCAAGAACAATTATTTCCACACTAAAACCTCAACATTTCCACAACCTTCTCAGGAAAACACCGGAAAAGCGGCCGGGATGTTGCTGTGAAGGTGATTGACAAGCTTCGCTTCCCCACCAAGCAGGAAAGTCAACTGAGGAATGAAGTGGCCATACTGCAGGTGACCAGCAGGGGGCGATTGAGAACCACCAGCAATGAAATCTGCACACATGCATAGAGCCGTGCTGCTAATGAGTGCCATTGTATTGACCGAATGATAATGAACACATTTAACACAATTAAACGTGCTGTGTGGCCTCTGATTGTGTGGGGAGCTAGCATGAGGTCATGAATGCCAATAGGCAACAATGTGACTCACCTAACCGCATGCTTTTTTCTTCTCTTAGAGCCTGCGACATTTGGGTATAGTGAATCTGGAGTGTATGTTTGAGACACCGGAGAAGGTGTTTGTGGTTATGGAGAAACTTCACGGTGACATGCTTGAGATGATTCTGTCCAGTGAGAAAGGAAGACTTCCTGAGAGGCTCACCAAGTTCCTTATAACACAGGTCTGTATTGTGGTTAGTGTGAAAGAGTGCTTCTTAAGAGCTTTTCAGACTGAACGCTCTAAACGTGATTATATAAGCTATAATGCATACTATTAGTCTGTTCAGTCTAAGCATGCACAGCAGTTGTATTCCTCATATAGTAGTAGACTAGTAAATAATATTGTTTTTGAAGCATGCTATAGTAAAGTGTTATATTTTCTTTGTTAATGAATGCTTCAGCATGGTAGAGCACAGGTCTCAAACTCGATTCCTGGAGGGCCGAAGCTCTGCACAGTTTTGCTTCAACCCTAATCAAACACAGCTGATGCAACCAATCAAGGTGTTCAAGACTACGAGAGACTATTAAGCAGCTGTGTGAGTTGGAGGTGGTTGGAGCTAAACTATGCAGAGCTGCAGTACCCCAAGAATCTAGTTTGAGACCATTGCTATAGAGAACTGATAATAAATACATACATTTTTACTACAGCAACTGTGCTGTTGTTGCATTAGATCAACCATAGAATTACTTAAACCCTTATATACTGTTGGGCATGTTTTTTCCACTCTGGGGTGATTTTGAGTCGTAATTTGGCCATAACATTTTCTGTGTTTCAGCTAGTGGAATGAGATTTGGAGACAAATCTTATTTTGACACACATTTCGAGAAATGCTTTGAAATAATATAATAATAATAATAATAATAATAAAAACATCTCAACGATTCATTCTGGGCAAACTAACTATCCTTTTATTATGTTTCAGATGAAAACATAATGTAAAACATTATGTTTTAATGTAACATAATGTAAAAATGCATTATATACATTTTCTTTTTCAATTTTATTTGCATAAATCTGTTAATCAACCTCAGTCCTGATCAAAACTACTAAATTGCTCAGAAAGTTTACAGGATTTTAACTGTTTAATTGCCAAATTCATAAAGGATGTCACTGATTTGGGAAAAAAAAAACATACACAAAACTTTTTTTTGTACCTTTTTTTCAAAGTCTTGAACATGTGAAACAACATTGCCTTTGATGCATTGTTTTTGATCAATTAAGTCTTTTATCCTTAATTTACTGTTGGTGGCTGTTTTTGCTCTATTAACTTTCATTATAATCACATTTTTTTATTACTAAGTAATGGCACCATATACAGTAATTATACATTTTTGATTGTTGGTGGTTTTCTCTGTTGGAAAAATTGTAATTTTAACTGTTGATCATCAATTGGCAGAATTAACTCATAGATAGGCCTATGCAAAAAATAAATAAAAATCATTCTCTGGGTTTTATATGGAATATAACAGCAAATTGAAGTGTGCGTATGTGTGTCTGTGAGTGTGAGAGAGTGACCTTTACACACTTATCTTGGTGTGTCTGAGAAAATCAAAATATGCATCTGAGCTTTCAGAACTACATGGAGTAAACAAAAACAAAGAATGTGTATTTATTCACCATCAAATGTGGTTATAATGCAAGTCAATGGGGCAAAAACACCCACAAACAGTAAATTTGTGAGAAAAGTTTAAAATTGAACTATGCATCAAAGCCAATGTTGTTGCTTATTATTTTATATTAAAAACACATAATTTTGTGTTTTTTCCCATCAAGTCAGTGACATAATTTGTGAACTTGGCAATTAAAAAGTTAAAATCCTGCCATTTTTAAGTGAAGTTTATTTATAAACTAATTTCGAGAGGATCACATGCTTATGATTGAACACAGCTGGTCATGCATAAGCCATTTCATGATTCACCAATCAGACGATTCCTAAGTCACTATAAGTCCAAAGTCACTATAAACACCCTAAATATATATCCCAACCATCTTCATTTTAAAGAATCCCCCCTTCCCACCCTACTCATCCTTTCCTAGATGGGTGGTACGGTGCTCCATGTAGTTAGCACTGTTGCATAACAGCAATAACATCATTGGTTCTAGTCCTTACCAAGCCAGCCAACATTTCTGTGCAGAGTTTACATGTTCTCCCCATGCTCATGTGGGTTTCCCCCGGGGCCCCCGTTTTCCTCCCACCGTCCAAAAACATGCAACTTTAGTTAATTGACTAATCCTAATCGGCACAGTAGACATGCTCTTAGTAAGTAGTTATATCTTAAGAGCAATACATATTTGCTCATTAGCAAATACAGCAGGGGAGTTTCAAGACCTATCTGAGCTCAAACTCCCCTCCTGCAACGGGAGGGAGCCCTAGGTTCGAGGATCTTATGAGCTCAGGGTTCTCTCCCAGGACATTTTTCCAAACCCACTTTTTAAGCAATCATCATCTAAGTGTGAACTCTAGAAACAATTTAGTGGTTTTGATCGGGACTGAGGTTGATTAACAGATTTATGTGTAGTCAAAAAACAGGGTTGTACAAGTGTTAACTATGGTATGGTTCAAAAACACTAATTTATGTATTATATATATTTTTTATGGTTCAAAAAAAAACAATTTACTCATGTTAGCATTGTTTAAATGACATTTATGCTTCTTGAGGTTTTTGGATCACAAAAGGAGAAATGTATGGAAATATTCTGCTCGTACACATCCAGATAACAGTAGTGAACAGTGACAAGCATTAAGCAGTTCTTTGCGACAAATACCATATTCCAAATGTGTTTTGGGACATATGAAATGTAATGCATTATTCATCTTGACCTTGACCATTTATCTTTACGCACGACTGCTCATTGAAGAAACTCTGTTAGTACCAGAGTCACTCTGACTTGCCCTTAAAAGTTTTCACTGTTTTGATAAATAAAAAGTAATAAAACATGAAACTCAATGACTACAAATGATTTTCAAAAAGTACCTGTGTAAGTAGTTTCTTCACTGAGTTGAGAATCCACAGATCAAAACTCATCTTGTCAGAATGACAGTTGACAGATTGATAGCTTGCTGTTGCATCAGACACAGCAGACATTATTTTCTCAGAGGTCACTTTTCTATGTATCTTCATTTCTCAGAACTTGTGTGCTGTTTTTGAGTGAGTCAGACTGAACTGTGATGCTAATAGAGTCTTAAGAACATGCATTCATGTGCGAAGATAAATGGTCAAGGTCAAGATTTTAATTAAAGAATACACTAAATTTAGGATTGCTTTTCACCAAGCCTTAATACATTATTGTAAGAATCAGCTCTTTGGTTTAAATCATGTTTAAACTTTGGGGATTCGAATCAAAGATTCGAACATGATTCACATAGAATTATTTAAAGCTTACACTTAACTTAAGTATTTGTCCAGCAAATAGAACGTTTAGTGTAAAGCAATCCTGTATTATATTATTACGTGGCCAACAATAACAATATAAAAACAGTATCTAATTATTTAATAAGCAAGGTAGCAGTATCTGAAGCTGAGGCATTAACTTATAAAGCACACAACACACCAACACGGATCTTAAAACGAAACAAAAGTTTATTGCTACTCTATAACACAAAGTACTAATCTACGTAAAACAAACAAATGCACATACATACACACACGCACAAGCAGTTTGAGGAGAGTTTTGACTGAGTGGATTTAACTTCTAGCCTTTGCTAAGTTCTTAGCATTGCAACCTGAGAGAAACCATAAAAGCAGAGAATTTCGCTATTCTTTACTACTTAAACATAATTCACACCAGAGTCAGCAATGGATAGAAACCTTGTTTGTGCTACTTGCGTTCTGATGTAATTTGGTTTCCTTGACTGGTCCAAAGGGAAATCCCGGCGAAGCTGATTGGTCAGCGTAGCAACTTCAGTGACGTGATGGAATTCCCTTGTCGGTGAAGAGGGGTTTCCTTAGTCGGTTGCTAGGGATACGGATGTTGGACAAGGCGGCGTTCGAAGTCCTTCCTGGGTTCCTGTAGTTAGGATGAGTTTCAGAGTTTGGATGTGTTGACCCGATGGCTTGTTGTTGAAGCGGTTGCACAAGCAGATCGGGGGTCGAGCCGGCAGCAAGTGAAGGTCGCGGTCTGCTCCGTGATGTAACGAGGCTTCCGGCGAGGCGATGTAACGGCCACAGCACGAGAAGAGCGACGTCCGGGCAGCGACGGCGGTGACGACTGGCAAAGATGACCGGCAAAAGACGACGATGAAATTTCTTTGTTCAAAGTTTTATAGGCTTTGGTAGAGGCTGGGTCTACACAATGCTTGTCCAATCAGATAAGGTGCGGGGTGGAGTCACACCCCAATTCTGCCCTCTAGGAGGCCGGGTTGACACCTGGTGTGGGTGCTGCTTTGATAGCATAGTGGTTAAAATAAAGTCTTATAACGTCAACACTTTTCATAGTATGGTTTCTTCATATAAACCAATGCATTTAAAATGTTCCTAGCTTTCAATCGATACCAAACAAAGTATTTCACAAACATTCTGTAGATTTCATTTGTCACTGAGGGCTATTGCTCAAGAAGTATCTATAACAGTTTTGTTAAACACATGGAACATGTACACACAAAAACCTACAGAAACATAAAGTAAACATACATTACTCAAATAAACTGTTTTACTTAAATGTCCATTAAACTTTGGAAGCGTTTCTGATCGCTTCTGTGTCTGCCTGAGAATGTGTATTCCTTGCAGACGCCAAAGGACAAGCGAACCAAAAGGTACTTCTCAAAAACCGGTTTGGTGGGTTTTTGATTGTAGAGCCTCTTATTGTTTTAGGGTGTAAAGTTAATTAACACGCAACTGTGATGTTGACTCGCTAGGTACCCTGTGGATTTGCCTTTTGCTGGGTGCCTGTGGATTGCTTTGAAAATGAAATCAATCTCAGACTCGTAGGCACCAACCAATCTTTTAAGGATAACATGGTCTGTGGCTTGTTCGGTTCTGGAACGATCCGTTGACTCCCCACATCCCCCATTTGGATGGTGATGTTCCTGGCATGAACATCGGCAGACACTGGAACAAGAGGCATAGGTAGAGAGAGAACAGACACACAAGACACAAACCACATTTCCATTCCATAGACTGAGTTCTGGTGCAGGTTTTAGCTTAAATTGTTCGGGTTAAGAACACAAGGTGTAGTGTTACA